ATACCGTGGGGTGACAGCACCATTGCACTCCCAACACCAGCCCTCTCCCAGCTTCGGCCTGAGCCACTGGGAAGAACCAGAGACAGAACCTCGTGCTGGGATTACAGCGATGCTCTGCAGTCTGCAACACAGCCAGCGAACGCTGCTCTCTGTCATTCACAATAGCTGGAAGAAAGAGAAAACTCACTGCTGCCTGGGCATGCAGAGAGATGCATCAGCCTTAAAAGATCCCCTGAATCATCACTGGTACTCTGTGACTACAGCAAGTTTGGAAAAAAACTATTCCGTTATGTTTCCATACCTCGAGGAAATTTCCTTCCTGTTTCCCAGTGTAACCCATGATGCTTGCTAACATGTACAACTGGGACGGACACGTGAGCCGCAGTACTCCCTGCTTCCCAGAAAAGCAGTTTTGTTTTCCTGGCATTCACTGCTATGATGAGCAAGTGAAACAAAATTCATCTCTTTCCCCCCCCCCCCCCATTAAGAACTCTTCACTATGCAGCAGAGCATGCATCTGGTTTTCTACAGATGTACCATTTTTGTGCTTTTTATATACAAATACATATATGTTCACTATCTTATTCCCCAGAGAACTGAAAGTGTGAGACCATGCCCTCATGTTTTGTTTTCAAAGCACTCACAACCACTGCCACAAGAAATTTGCTGGAAGGATGACAAAGACTGTATAAAATGTGGATGTACACACTAATGAGATATGAAGGGGAATCATTCCTGGTTTTCACACTGACTGGTGTTTGTTTAATACCTCTTCTTTGACCTTAAAACCAAGCAATTTGTTTCACTGTGGTGATGTTTACTGAACAAAATAGACCGTATCTAAATGCTACTACCACACGTTCCATTTAAAGTTGTTACAGATAAGACAGCTTAATCAAAGGCTCTTTGTGAAAAAAAAAAAAAAAAAAGGACGCTGTAAAAAAAGGACTTTTAAATTTCTTTAAAAGACACATCAGGGATAAAGAGGTCCCACAAAATATGAGAATAATTTATGAAAACTTCTTCTCCAACGAAAGGGCACTGGCTCTCAGGCCTAGTTTAGATTCTTTATATTGCTTTATTTACAGAAACTCTGCTACACTGCCCTGAGCATTGGTGACATCAGGATGGAAAGTCAACACTGTGCTCGAGCGTAGCGAGACAGATGATGTGTTTTTGTAGAAAATGATTAATACCTCCATTGTGTATACCATGGAGGAAAAAATGGAAAGGCTGGCGATCTGACTTTTCAAAACAATTTTAATCACTGCAGCAAAGTCATTGCCTAATTAGGTTGTTTTCATGCCTATTTGATGATTCATCTTACTGGATAAGCAGTGTGCTGGGAGTACAGGTAAGTGCTGAAGGCTCCACAACTTGATAAAAGCCTAAATTCTCATCAGTTAAGATAACATTTCTCTCTGAAATAAAAATAGTAAGCAGAAATAAGGAAATGGGAAAAATTATTCTTTTTTCTTTAAAATATAAGATGCATGTCATCTTAAATATCATTTTTAAATCTAATTGGAGCTTTCTCTCTTGCTTACCTCTTGCATCCCTCTTGCATCTTTAAGTGAAAATGAAAAGTGGGAAGGAGCACAGGGAAGGAGCGCGCATCCAGCACTGGGACACAACTCTGGGTCTGACACAGAAAATCATCTGGGTGCCCTTCTCCTCCTAAGCACTGTTGCCTGGAGGCTGCTGAGGCTGGGGAGTGAGCCCTCAAGAACTGCAGAAGGAAGCGACCTTGATGTACACAGAGGTTAAAAGCCAGAACAAGCCCTGTGAACTGCCAGTGACACACCAGCCACAACAAAGTCCCCAGAAAACACCAAATTCAGTCACAGGCTCTTCATTAACAATGACGGAGCCTTTTCAGAAGGTTGCATGAGGCCATTGGACAATGGCCCTTAAAAGTATGGGCAAGTCCTACCAGGATTCTCAAAGGTGCAGCAGAAAATAACACTGAAAAAAAAGTTAAATCCCGCTGAAAAAAGTTATTTATTCCGACTCGTCATCTTATGTCATTTTATTACGTCTTGTGCATCCCTCACCTATTCTCCTGCAAGAAACAGAAGTGAGAAACCACCAAGAGACCGCAGTGGACAGGAAGGCCAGTCAGGAGATGCTCTTATGTAATTCCTGCCTTCAAATTAAGCTGGGTTTTTTCTTCATTTTCAGTTTGCCATTGGCTTTCCCAATTCTCATCACCCTGCACATTGCAGGGGAAAACGAGACCTCGCTCCCCTGCTCCAGCCCACTCAGCAGCAATTTAAATGGCTGGAAGCAACAAGGAACAATGAAATGCAGAAATTTTCACTTCGTACAGAACAGAGACCAAAGTCTGATGCGGACAGAGCCCACCTCGTCGGGCAGTGCAATACAGGATCCCAGCTCCCGTGAGGGGTATTTGTTAGTAAAATCGAGGACGCTACTTCTTCAGTCACCTGGCTGCCTTATTCCTCCGTTTGCTTTCTGGAGAGCCAGCAGCGTTACTGACCCAACACAAGCTTGTGACATGCCCTACTCGTGCCAGAAGACCAAGATGCACACAGTTTATTTGTTCTTACAGATGTGCTTCATGGTCCCCGCCAACACAGAGAGCCTGGGCTGTGTTTTCCAAACCCAGCTACCCAAACCTGTATGACTGGCCCCTGCGGGCTCCAACCACCAGGTGTGGTTTCCTGGGCACTTCTTGAACACGTGGGGCCAACAAAACACCCAGCAGAAGGAAACAACTGTAATCGTCACCATACTAACTGTTGACAACATCCTATCCCAGATGACAAGGTTATTACTACTAAAAGCTCCCAGTCCTGCAACAGCACGTGCCTATTTGAGATCTGGCTGCCAACCTGGAGGAGCTCTGGGTGAAGAGCTATGGAGTATCAGAGCTTGGAAGTGGACCTCAGTGAAGTGTCACCACTAGGACTACTATTGACCAAAGGGAGAAAAAAAATCCAGCCTTTGCCATTTTATTTATAATGCAAAAGCAGTCTGAGTGCTCCCATTTGCCTTCATTTCCAGTAGAAAAATCAGGTCTCGGCTGCACCGTCTTTATGGGGTTCAGCATCTAGTTGGAATAAGCCCTCAGATACTGGTAACACCCTATATAAGTAAAATAAATGTTTAAACTCGCTGTAGCTAAGGCTATTCATATCAATGTTAGGTATTAAGCATGAACGGATTCCGCTGTCCTGAGCGGGGGCCCGGGCCCACAACCCTGAGGGCAGGCCAGCCGCTCCGCCAGCCATCTTGGGGGCACTGTGCTGAACGCCCTGACTGAACAGGTCCCGGCCTACGGGCCGGTGCTGCCCTGAGCCCCCGGCCACTGCGGGAGCAGGAGGCACCCTTTGCTAGCAGCCCTCAGTCTGCGGCTCTCCGTGGACGACACGTGGGTTATCCGCGCGGTTGGAAACCGGGGAGGGGTAAAGAGATCCTGATTGGTATCAAAAGGGTCGATGGGTCTCTGAGATGGCAGGTGCACTTGGAAAGGGGAAGAGGAAAAATAGTCCAGCTCCGGCACACGCTGATTTAGCCATAACAGGAATGGATGTTAATGTCCTGCCTCCAAAAGACTCAGAACCCAGGGACTCCCTCTCCTCCAGCTCACATCAAACACAAGGATGTGGCCCAGGGAGCCCACACACCCCGATGAATCGCAACTCAACACCCAGCTCTGCGCTATTTGTTTTCAGGAGAAGGGTAATGGTGAAGACTGAATGGTGGAAGTCTCATCCAGGGGATGTTCTACATTGACCACAACTCAGCTATTTTTACATTTACCAAAGGGTGCACATAAGAGAAGCATTTCTGTGTTACAGAAGACTGCTGCAAGCCAGAGAATCTCCTGTTTCACCAAGTCCAACCCTCTGGTTCTCCTTTGTTTTGAAGCTTTCTCTTTCTCTCCTCACCCGTATTTTGAATAACAGCGCTTGTCTAGTCATTCATAATTGCCATAAACAAGGGCCATATCAACTTCAGTTACAGCCATCTTCCCTAGCACAGAAATCTTAGGACAAAAACAGACCTGAAAAGTTACCTGTTTGATTGAATGGCTCTGATTGGGAAAGTCCACTGGGAGAACTGCTGTCACTGCTGCTGATGGGTGCAGGCTCCAAAGCATCAGGGTATTTCAACAGATCTGCTGACGTACTAACAGTTGAATCAGGAAGAAACCTTATGAAAGTCAAGTCTTGTTCAGGGGAGGAATAACGTTCTCTTCCAGAATGCACAACAGCTGATGTGACAGTGCCTCCTGTTAACGTCACCTGGGTAAAGCAGTCCCGCTTCAGAGGGGACACATCTGAAACGGTGAAACCATTCAAGGAGGAAGCAGCAGGATCCCCGTCAGAGTAATGGGAACAAAAGAAAGTATCCAGCGAAGGTTTAGAGGAATCACAGCATGTGTTGTCCCAACATGCCCGGTGCCTTGTAAACCGAATGTCTGTTTGTGTACAGGCAGCGTTGTGATGTGTAGAATTGCCGTCGCTGTCGTCATCGCTATCCCCAACACTGCTTTCTTCCCACCGTTCCATGTCACTGTCTGGATGCTCAGCTCCCTGCATTGTGGTCTGCTCCAGCACCAAAGAGGGCTTCAAACCAGATGCATTTAAAACAGACACAAGAATGTCTTTGATAGCTTCAGCGCTGTCTGGGTACGATCCAAAACTTCCAGCATGTCCAATCACTGCTGGCCTTGAGCATTCATCTGTTTAGAAGAGGGAAGAAACCAAGAGCTTAGGAAACAATCCTAAAAAAAATGTTAATTTACAACATGAATAAAATGCACATTATTTTTGACATCAGTGAGAAGGCAGGAAAGAACCGAATTCACACATCACTCTCTGCTGCCTCTTCCTGGAAGAAAGCTCTTGCTCTCTGCAGTCAGGAAGCAATTCTGTCATTGATAAGCCTAGGTAATAAACCAACAGTAAAGTATCCTGCTGCTAGCCAAACACAATTAGTTACGACTTTAATGGTGACAGATTGTCAGCGTGCTTGAAAACATCATTGTTCTACAAAACTGGATGAGGTGCAGTTACTGGTTCTATTAGAAGGTCACATTATAGCAAGACATATGGAGTATCAATACAACAGGAAGAAAAAAAAATACCCTTAGTAATAAAAGGTCACGTGCTTGCATGTTTTAGTTCAGACAGACACTCCTCCTCACGTGGAAAAGGCTAAAGTAACCTTCAGTCCATATTCATAGGCGTGGCAACATTTACATGAACCCATAAAGAAAATTAGCTCTGTCACAGCAAGTTCATTATAATGCCTCTGAAGGAATCAAAAGTACTGCCTGCCCAGGTCCTATGTGATCTACTGCAAAACTGTAGTTCAATAGAAAACGGAAAAAACTGCTTTTAGTGGCAAACATGGCAACATTAGCGTGATGTAAAAGTGTGCACTGCAACTAGTAGCTAGTCAAGAATAAATTGTAATCCTATACCTTGAGCAAAAAGCCTCACAGGAACTGCCATCACCCAAACAATGGAGAGATTAGACACAAAGTCTTTGTTCAAGACTAAATATCAACCACATCACAACGAAGTTAACAACTGTCTCCTTTAGGAAAGATAAGTTGGTTGTAAAATTCTAAGAATAGATGCAATCAAGAAGATTCATTTCCAGGGCAAAGAGCTCTTAGTTACAACCATGAGGAATGTTCACTGCTGGTGAAAAAAGCAGCAAGTCTTGCAGACTGTAGACTTTGCCCAGAGGTTGCTCTGCTTGGACATAACAGAGAACAGTAAAGCTCTCCACGAGTCACTCACCTGGAAGCCAGCACACACTCAAACTGCATGATAGGAAAGTTTACTAATGAAGGGATCAAAATCAAAACAAGACCCACCATGTACTTTGGAAAAGCAAGTCTATATAAAGAGCAGTCCTCATCAAGAGAAAGCTGAAAAAATTATTAAGAACATTACATATAAGCCACACTGCAAGAGCTAATAGCAATGCTGTCTTCATAAAGCCAGGTCAAAATTAGCTGAAGAGTTCATCAGTGATTGTGATCAGCCACCTGCCACTGATCAGGACAAAACTCTTGCAGAAATAGCAGCAAAGGTGCACATTTTACTGGCTGCACTTGCAAAGAAACACCTTGCCAATGTAGCCAGCTGTGGCAGTGTACAGGCAGGAATGGGAACATGGAAGCTTGTTGACTTTCACACAAATGTATTTTAATCTTTTCAGGAAAAGAAAACAATTTGGTAACTGTCAGGAGTTTCAATTGCACAAGAATATCTTAACCTAGGCTGTAAACATCATCTTTTCCGTGCAAAACAAAACACTTAGTCTTACTGTCTTCAACTCTTCTGCTCTGCCCTCCTATTGCAAAGTCCGTTCTGACAGCATCTGCATTCCCACCCATCCTTTGTCATCTCCACTACTCTAGCATCATGGAGCATCTCTAGCACTAATCATAACCACACTGACTTACTCTGCTAAATACTTGTTCTTAGTGGATTTAAGAGAAAAAAAGAACAAGTCTTAAAAATTAAACTAATGCTTTTGTGCTGCCAAGCCTAACCCCTCCCCCCCCAACAACAACAATAAAAAAACCAGGCCCCATGCCCCCACATTTTAAGCTACTACCAGAAATAGGCTGGTTCCAGTTAAAAAAAAAAAAAAAATCTCAACTTTTGCAACTAATACTCATGTAAGTAATTATGGTAATTTGTTAAAACCCGCGAAACTATTTCTTGAATGAACAAGGCATTAACCTGCCAAGAAGCATCCGAACGGTTCAAGTATTTTACTCTTGAGCACTCAAAATGCCAGCGAAACTAAAATGGCCAAATTACCATTTAAAAGGCAAAAACCCCTTACTTTCAAATCGTATAACAAACTTTGATGTTGTCCCATCTTCAAAGCCAGTAAGCAAGGCTGCCTCTCCAATCAGACTGTACTTGTTTAGTACACAACAAGCATCGATAGCTTTTGCTAGCATCACAAGCACCAGCAAGCACCCCGGAGGGAGGTATTTTAGAACAAATCGGCATACCTGAGAGAACAGAGATTTGAGGTGTTGGAGCAAGGCAGCTAATCCTCGCGGAGGGATTCGAAGAATACGCTGACTCGGTGAAAGCCACCTTTAGGCTTTCAGGGTTTAACTAGAACAAGAACACACAGGCAGACAATTTGGTTATAAGACAACAGTACTCTGCTAACGATATCCCCAGTCTCACAGCCATCCCAGCAGGAAGAACATCGTGCTAAGGCCTGGTGACAGTCACCTAACCACTGCCTGTATTGCTGGTTGTCTGAAAATCTCCCCAGAAGCATGCATGGTCTGAAGAGCACTGACATCTCAGCTCTGCATCTTGCATTTCACTCCAGAAGGCAGGGGACCAAAAGAAACTCTGCATGGTAGGAGAATTAAACATGTGCATAAAGCACATACGAGATAAAATGCTGAATCACATGTCTATGTATCTGTCAGAACAACAGCAGTGAAGTGGAAAAGAATTCAAGGAACCACCAATCTGCAGCTGGAGGCACAGGCCTGCTTAGATGTATACAAGCTATGAGCTAAGTCTATGAGGCCCCAACACCACAGGCACCTGATGCACGTGCTGCTTGATCTCTCAGCTGTATTGACTGGGAGCAAGCGCGGTCACATAACCACATCTGCCTAATTTGATAGAGCACAGTACATGTGGTTCACGTCAGCAATGTGGCTGGCCCAGCATAAAGTGAGAAGCAACGCAAATAGATAATACTCGACCTGGCATACAGCCTGCCAGTATAAACTGACAAAAATTTTGAATGCATTTGAACCGACTGAGCAGGTTTACACCAGATCAGCATTTCACTTTGTGCAGTCATGCTGCTTCTGATTTGGAATTTTGAACCCCAAAGCCGGATTTACCATATCGTCAAACCAGCCTAAGCTGAACCAGGGCAAGCAGTTTAGCGCAGACACCGAGGAGCTAATTCCAACACGGGAGTAAGATACACTCAGGACGGCAAAGCAACAGGTCTCCTCCCCAAGCTCACAAATTCATCTCCCGCTCCCTCTCCACTGCCTCAAGTATGTCATGGACCTGCAGTGCGCATCACAGAAACCAGGGAAATCGAAGTGGTGCCCTGCTCTGAGGGGCACATCGTTAAAAGGCACTTAACCAAGGTGTACCTTGCCTTCTCCCTACTTAGAGACATCAGTAAGATTTCTCCACAACAGAAGTATCTTCAAGACGCCTCTAACCCTCCCCTGCACCCTGTCGTCCCATACAAGGAGAAGGGAGTTAAAAGGTGTGCTGTCCTCTGCCACCCTGTGTTGACCTCTACGTTCCCCACATGGTCCCATAGGAGAATGAGGTGATTCAGAGAGCAGATCTAGTCCAGGCACCCTTCAGACTCACGGAAAGCAGAAGAAATTAAAACCCACAAAGAACTTCCCTTTTAACTGAAGAATAACATTTCAGGCCAAAAATAGTATGCTGAATTTCACATACTTAGTGTTTGATCACGCCAGTGCTTAGAAAAATACTCTTTTCAGTAGCTGATAGTGCTTGCTTTCCCGCTCCCCCCCCGCACTTTAGAGAAACTGTTGTGTAGGCAGACTTTATACATAAAACTATTATATTGTCAATATTACTGGATAAAATAGTTCTTACAGGAATTAATTTTTATTCATTATGTTGATTTTAAAAAATTCATTTTTAGTAACAGTAATTAACTGACTCTACCTCTTAGATGCATATATCATAACTTCCTGACACCAGAGTGAGCGCGAGTACTTTATCAGTAAGTATAAATATTACGAGTGCTAAGTTTTAAGGTTTTATTTCTTTTTAAAAAACCCTTCCATCTCTTGGATCTTATCAGAAGCAACCAGTGTTCTGAAAATCCTGATAAAAGATTTTCATTTATTTTCAAGATGTTACGATTTCAACTGTGTCACAGATTGGGAAAGAGCTCCTTTAGTATTTAACGATCAAACTAAAACAAAACAACCACCAAAAAAAGGCAATTAAAGAGCACTTACAAGGAAATGTGGCAACAGAAGTGCATGAAGCACACACTGCCATAACCAAGAAAAACCACTGAGAGTTTGACATCTTTCCTAGTATAAACGAGTCAGCCCCCCGCCCCCCAAATACGGGGACTGTATTTCCAAATTTAACTCCAGCATTTAAAAATATTTACCAAAATCACTGACAACTGAAAGCTATTTTCAGAAACAAAAACGAAAACAGGGAGCCAACATTCAGGCGCCTTCCTTGCCTTACCTTTTTGGAGCAGGGGTGCTTGAAGAGCTCTGTCCCGCTGTAGCTGGCCAGAGCTACTGCATGGAGAGACATGGTGGGAAAACAGTCATTTTTTTTTCCTTTTTTAGTCGTTAAGTACCTGAAAGCAACAAATAAAGAACTGCAATCACCACCACGCTGACCACGATCCTCCACGTGTTTTGCAGAGTCTACATTTAATATTCTGGACTGTTTTCGGTCTCGAAACCAGCGCACGCTGAAGAGCGCAGCGCAGGAACGATGGACATCTCTCGCTGAGCGAGCTCCGTTTAGGGCATTTATTAAGC